TATCGTCCGTAGCCGCTAGGTTCGGAGCTGGCTCAATCGAGGATGCGTCGGCTTTGTGCGCATCTTGGATTACCACGTTGGAACGAACGGTATCGAGCATCATGGAGTGACAGGGCCCCCATCCATTAGCCGAGCTGGTGGATGTCGTTTTGTGGCGCAGGAGGTTCGCCACCCAACCAAGAGTCGAGTGGTGCCTTATAGAGATTGGCTCACTTCTTGGCGGGAGAAAACACATGCGGTTCTTCAGCGGCTACACAATCACAGAGCTCGAGCGAATGGTACTATTCAGCAGCAGCAGCTTGAGCAAGCGCGCAAGCAACTTGGTGGGCAATCTCCTGAGCAAGGACATCGAGGGCTTTGCGCGGGTCCGACCCGCCCAGGGACGCTTGGACATCAATTCTTGCCACCAGTGCGAAGCGCGCCACGCAAGATAAACTCGCCTTGTTTGTTGCATCTGCTAAGAAGATTGCATCGCGTTGCCGAGGGCGCGCCTTGCGCTCTGCTCTTCACGATTTCAAGGAGTGGATTGCCGGCGCAGAAGCGCCAGGAATTTTGGACAAAACTACGAAGTCAAACCCAGTGCCCGCTGAGGAAATCACCCAGGGCTCCCAGGAGTTATTTCAACCCAAGGACGTGGTCGATCAGCGGGCAAAACCATTTCGGGACCTCTGGACCAAGGCGAGCGTACACCAGGATACGCGAATCCTGGAGGCTTTCGAGGCAGCACGGGTCGCGGCACGAGCTGACCCCCTCGAAGCGCTTTCAGTTTCCGACACCAGACAAGCGGCTCACGCCATGCGAGCGCGAGCAGGCCAAGGGGTGGATGTTTTAAGTCCGACAGACGTCGAGCGGATGCCCGACGTAGCATTGGCAGAACTTTCAAAACTCTACGAGGTCATCGAGGAAACTTTGGTTTGGCCTGCTCAACTGGGCCTCACGATCGGTCGGCTTTTACCCAACAAAGTCTGGGGACAGAGTTATTGGACTTCTGCCAATGACAGCTAGAATACGGAGTCTCGCGCGCGAGCCACATGTTAAGACTTGGGCAGCAGAGTCTGAGCCCATGTGGGACGCAGCCATCACTGGCAATGCGGCCCCATGCGAAGCATTCAGGAGGGTATGTGAGGAGGGGGTATCGGGAGTATTGGGTAGTTCAACAGGGCACGGGCTCCTGGATATTCAAGGCTTCTATGATGCGATGGAGTGGTTTTATCTCATCCCCGCAGCACTCAGACTGGGGCACCCTCCAATCATGTTTAGTTCCCGAGCTGCTCCAGTGCATTCTGCCGAGGACGCTGGGACAAGGTGGGGCTTTGTCGGAGCCTATTTATCCTACTCACTCTATCGTCCAGGGCCTTCGTGGGGGCAAGAGGTTTGCCCGATGTCTTACTTGTTATATTTTATCTCGCGTCGCATCTGCTCATCCACGCATGAGGGCGCGCATTTGGATCGACGACTGGTCCCAGCGAGTCCATGGATCCAGACGAAGTCTCCGACAATCCCTTGTGCGTGGGCTCATGGGCACATGTCGCCAGCTCACGCACGAAGGCCTCGCAGTTTCGCCCAACAGTGTTGTGCTGTGTTCCCATCTAGAAGATGCCCAGAGTATTTCAAAACAGCTACGAGCGGCTGGAGCTGAAGTCAAGCCGTGTAGCCGTGCAAGGTACTTGGGAATTGATCTTGGTGGGGGGAAACGTCATGTACGTCAACGGCGCAACAAACGGGTGGTAAAGGCAGCAAGCATGCACAACAAAGTGGTCAAGCTTGCAAGGGCAGCTAAACGGTATCATTTTACTAGCAGGCTCACGCGAGCTGGCACCATGGCCGCTGAGATGTACGGCCATCAGCTGCATGGAGTTCTCGGCAGTGCCATGTTGCGCTGCCGCCGCCAGATTGGCCATGTATGTGGGTCAGGCAAACGGGGGCGATGCTTAACCACACTTCTCGACCTTCGGAGTCCAGGATGGGATCCAGGGTATACACTTCCTCGGGCATGTCTGGCTCTCTGGCTGCAGCAGTATCTGACTATTCCCGCCATGCGGCCAGGCATAGCTCGTGCATGGCCGCATATGTTGCAGCGCTTGCGAGAGGCGCCAGAGGGGCAACGTTCAAGGTTGGTGAGAGGGCCGAACGGAGCGGTCATCATGCATCCTTTGGAGGCAGGCTGGATACCAGAGGCACCCTGGCATTGGAGGGCTCCTGAAGACCACGTGGGCGATCTGGAGGCGTGGAAATTTCACCTTTCAGAGCTTTCTGGAAACATTTTGCAAGATGACCCTGGTCCGCTTCTTCAGGATTTCACCAGCAGAACTGTGCAGGCTAAACAATGGCGCCAAGCTGCACGCCATTTATGCGGAGAAGGAATGCAGCACGGCGTCGACAATTTTTCATTGCGCAGGCTGTTAAGGCAACTACAGACTGTGCGCCAGGGGCTCAGGATCAGGGAGCTCATGGCTTCTATTGCTTCAGGAGGATCTTGGCCCCGGCAGACGCGACAGGATGAGATGGCTGGGGGCCACGAGGTTTTATGTCCCAGGTGCCAGGAGAAACCAGAGACACAGTTTCATCGAATCTGGGAGTGTTCAGAAAATCGAGGTTCCAAGGCGCACGAAGACTCTGAGTATTTAATCAGTGCAGCTTTCTCGCAGCATGCAGCTGACTCATGTTTCTGGCGACGAGGCCTCATTCCAGCGGCGTGGACACGTATACCACCACCGCCAGTTGAGGAAGCCTGGAGTTTGATAGGCACGAACAGCTCCGAACTTAAGCACTGCTTGGGCAGAGGAACGGATACGCAACCCATGGTTGTTTTCGGAGACGCTTCTGGGGGCAAAGACTCTGGGGGCCCCAGGTTTCGAAGAGTTGGGCTTGCGATAACTACGCTGAGTTCGTATGACCCGTGCTGTATTCGTGCATCGGTCAAGGGGCCTCTCGTGGGCGAAGATCAGTCAGTACCCAGAGGGGAGCTACGTGCCTTTGTGTTAGCTCTCACCTGCACTGCCGAGCATCCGGTATATATATATATATATATATATATATATATATATATATATATATTACAGACTGTGAAGCTGTGACCAAGGGGCTCCATCAGAGAAGACATGAGAGGCCCACAGGGGCCGATAAGGATCTGTGGCGCAACATCGGTGGTGAGCTGGACGCCCGACAGGGCCAAGTGTCTGTCTTATTCGTAAATTCGCACCTCACGGGTGAGCCAGTTGTCACTTCGGGAACCCCCGCCTGGCTTGCCATCGGTAACACATGTGTTGATGAACTGGCCGCGCAGGCGGCCGAGGCAGGGAGAGTCGCCGACGAGGTTCGGGCGGCTGTCTTCCAGGTAGAGAGCAAGGCGATGCACGTGAGGATGCGGCTCATCAGAGCCACGCTGGACTGCATGATCACCGAGGAGCGTGGCGGACCCGCGCGTGTGAGGGAGAGGGGTCCTCCTCCTCCTCCTCCTCGTCCGTCGTTTGTTCGTGCTTCGTTTCGGAGCATTGCCTGGATGAGACCAGGCATAAATGTACTAGGTGTTGGGGATCTGCCAGCAAGGCCACTGTGTCCGAATGGCACTCGTCCTCGTGCTTTCAGCCCGTTCACGTGTGTGAAAGATATGATTCCATACCTGAGGGGGGGCGGCTTCATATTGCTGGGGGCTGGGTCGAGGGGTCCCATATTATGCGTTTGTCTCGTGTGCAGAGGGTTTGGTTTTGCACCCAGTGTGGCTATTTCGCACATTCCCAGTTGCGAGAGTTAGCCAAGGACTGCACACGCCAAATCGCACCCCATAGAAGGGAGTATCTGTCCAGACTTCAAGACGGGAAGTGGCCGAAACTGCTTAGCAAGGCTGAGCTGCAGCGCCGCTCGTAGTTCGTATCGACCACCACGTGGGATAGCTCGCAACTCGCAACGCCTCCTCCTCCACCTCCTGCTCCTGCTCCTGCTCCTCCTCCTCCTCCTCCTCCGTCTCCTCCTCCTCCCCCCCTTCCCCGTGTGTGGTGGGGGGTGAAGTGTTGTGCAGTGCATGAGGCATAGCATGACAGCGCACGTGATCAGATGTTCTGCACTATTTGCTGCCACTGTGTTGCATACCTTTGCAGCGTTGCATTATTTGCTGCCACTGTGTTGCATCAGCCTCGACAGGGCCGAATGTCGTTACATGTTCGTTGCCGTGCTTTGCGGTGCGTGAGGCATAGCATAGCACGGCATATGTATAACATGTTACTTAAGACCGCCGGGCTTAGGAGACCACGCCCGTGTGATGAAATGTTGTGTTTTTTTCCCCTGGCCCCGTGGGCCGATGGGACAGCGGAACGCCGCGAGACCATTTTGAGCGATTTGTTTTGTAAGGGGCTGCACAGCTGGATATAGGAGTCAGCAGCTGTGCAGCATAGCAGGCACAGGCCCGCGCACGCCTCACAGGGGAATGCGAGCGACACTACGCTAGCATGAGCCTGTGGGGGTAGGGGGCCAATCAAATGCAGAGCGAATCCACGCCTGCATGCGATTGGCCCTTAATCTACATGTTTGTGGACTTTGGCTCAAGCAAGGGGTTGGAGAAACACATCTGTTCTTCCCATCCCCCTCGTATATGGTGGCCCAGGGCGGCCGCAGATCCAGGGGAGGCCACAGTCTGGCTTCCATCGTGAACTCTTGGGAGCGTCGTCTGGCTGAAACTGCCGAGTTCTTCCTCAGGGAAGCTCTCGGGCTCCCACCTCGGCCCCAGTGGGGCCCATTCTGGCTGCTTCCAGCCTCCCGGGCCGAGTTGCTGGCATATTTGAGCGCAGTGGCCGATGACGAACTGGCAGAGTCAGAAATCATCGATGAATGAGAACATCTTGTATTTTGCGCACCCGCTGGTGGACCAGCACCCCCTGGGGTCCACACGGGTTATGAGCCCAAGTGCGATGACATCGACACCACCATGGATTATTCGGGCGTGCCGGTCGTGCGGCGACTACTTGCACGGCCCGAGCGTCCAGTGCGAGAGCTGCGGCTGGCAGGTTCACTCGCACTGCGTGGGCGTGCGCGCAGGCATCGTGGTGTGCTACGCCTGCGTGCACGACTTTGACGCAGCCCGTGCGCAGGCGCGCTTCCGGGCATCTGCCCAGGGCCTGGGCCGTGCCATGGGCTGCGGCGGCGCGTTGGCAGGCCAGGCGATCGGAGCAGCTGCGACGGGCGCGCTGGGCGGCGCTGCGCGGCTCGCGATAGGGGCCGCCCAAGGAGCGAGGTCGGCGCTCGGAGGCCTGACGGCCGCGCCACTGTCCCTTCAGGCCTCGTCTTCGGCGCCTCTGCCGTTGGTCCGAAACCCCGCGCCCTCGAGGAGTACGACATCTCCGACGCTGGGTCCGGCCGCGAGGTGCCCACGCACGGCGAGTCTGGACAGGACGTGTCCTCAGAGCTTCTTGCAGAGCTCAGGTCCACGCGTGCAGAGATGAGGGCGCTGCGCGCTGAGAATGAGCAGCTGCGCGCCGAAGCTGCGAGCGCCGTGTCCGCGCGTTCAGGGGCCTCTGTCAGCCCTGAGGCCTTCGGGGCAGGTGGTGGAGTCGACGTCCAGCAGGGGCATGGCGCCACAGACATCGACGAGCTCTACGACCAGTCCTGGAGTGCGGCCGGTGCTCCCCACACGGCTCCGCAGGGTGGCTGCGGCAGCTGCGACGACCCTCCTGGACTTCGTGGTGATCGAGGTCGTGATGATGGGCGTAAAGATCAGCAGGATGGAGGGGGCGATGAAACTGTTGGAGGTGCTCCCCAACAGCCGCCTCAAGCAGGTGCTGCCGGAACAGGCTCGGGCGGCAGGCCAGGGCCGATCCAGGGTTCGAGCGGCGACCCTGGCGCAGCAGGCAGCGGCCCTGCTGGCAGCTACCCAAGGTCCGCGGCCCCAGGAGGCGGACTCGGACCAAGTGGATTTCCTCACGGATTCGGTGGGCCCGGCGCCCCAGGAGGCGGGTTCGGGCCAAGTGGGCAGCCTCGCGGCTTTGGTGGACCTGGGGGCCCTGGCGGTGGAGGCTTCGGAGGACCAGGAGGCGGTGCACCACCTCCACCTCCACCGTACGGCGGAGCTGCTGCTGCTGCTGCTGCTGACGGTGTCCCACAGCAGCCTGGGCGAGACAGCACGCTCGAGAACGTGCTGGCCAGGATCAAGGCCTCCGACTTGCCCGTGCTGACCTTCGGCAAGGGGTGCAGTGCGGGCCAGAAGGCGGCCATCTTCGACAGGTGGCTGCAGCGGATCACCCTCGACCTGGGGGGCCTCCATCATTTGATCGAGGCTTACTGGGCACGCGTGGTAGCGGTGGTCAGCGAGGCTCATCGCAGCTACCTGTCCCATGGCCCCCTGCAGCGCCCGGGGATTCGGCCATCCCAGCTGGTGATTTGGATCGCGGCGGAGGCTGAGGCGATCAACTTTAGCAGTTGTGAGCTTCGCCTTCGAAGTCTTCTTCTCCACCTCATGCCTGCTGGCGTCACGTCGCAGTGCCTTGCGACGAGGATGACTTCGACCGTGGACATCCTGTTCGGCGCCTTCGTGGAGGCAGGGCCCGGGACCTCTGCCGACAAGGACTACACCCTCGACGCGGTCTCGAAGGGGCGCGCCGTCGAGAAGCAGAACACCTGCGAGGAGCTACAGCGCTGGATGCTGAACGTCACGCGGTTGGCCTCCCTCGGCGTGAACGCGCCGGACCCTTCGGTGCAGCTCACGACCTTGAAGACGATCGTGGCGAAGATGGTGGAGAGCGACCAGGAGGTGAAGCACAGGTACTATGGCTTCCTCGTGTTCCATGGTCTCTCCGGCGGCGTCTGCACGCAGGCGCAGGTTGACGAATTGTGGCGCTACCTCAGCGCCGAAGCCCGCGAGTTCGCAGGTGGTGCGAGCAGCGAGGGTAGCAAGAGCGAGGCAGCTCGAGTGGCAGCCCTGGCCCTGAAGACCGGTGGCAGAGACCCCAAAGGGCATGGCATGGACAAGGATCAGGATAAGACCAAGGATAAGGACAAGAACGGCGACAAAGGTAAGGACAAGGATAAGAACAGGGAGAAGGACACCGGCAAGGGCAGCGAGCGCTTTTGCCCGTACTTCGACCGCGACTCTAGGTGCAACCACGGGGCGAATTGCCGCCAGAAGCACCGACGCCTCGCGGCGAGCGATGGCAAGTGCTTCAATTGCGGCTCCACGAAGCACCGGAACGACGAGTGCCCTCGGCCTCGCGCTCCTCCGCGCGCAGCTGCAGCTGAGTGCCCAGAGGCAGGATCAGGAGAAGGACGAGGACGAGGACAGAGAGGAGGAGAGAGGAGTGAGACGAGCCCGACCGCCTCGGCGCCCGCGGCCGGATCGATTGAGGCAACCGCAGCGCAGGCTGCGAGGGCGGAGGTTTCAGCCCAGCTCCTCAGCCTGATGGGGATGGGTGCAGCGCCCGAGGGCTCGCTCGCCCAGGTCTCGGACGAGCTGGCGTTCTGGGAGGCGGGGCCCTCGGCGAAGACCATCTCGATAGCCAAGGTCGGCGCTCGGTCTGCGAAGCTGCTGCTCGCGGATACCGGGGCGACGCATGAGCTTCGCGGAGTCTCTGATCTTGCGTCGGTTCGCGGCGCCCAAGTCCAACTTCGGACAGCGACGGGGAAAGTGGAGGCGCGGATGCAGCAGGACATCGTGTACGTGACCGGCGATGACATTCAGCGATTGTTTCCTCTCTCGTCCTACATCGAGGCGCTCGGCCTCAAGATGACGTGGGACCCGGCGTACTGCTTCGCGGAGCTGGCCGACGGCAGGAAGGTCCATTTTGAGCGGATCGACGGCGCCCTCTACATTTCGGAGGAGAACGCCGAGATCTTACGGCAAGAGCGGCGCAAGATGATGCGCCGCGATGGCGACGCTCGCGCGAGGTTTGCGCGCGATGGCAGCGGCGCGGCCTGCAGGGGCAGTGCCGCATCCAGCGCTGGGGGAGCACGCGGAGAACGGGCACGTGAAGTTCGATAAGAACTGCGGGCTCTGCCGCGGCGCCCCCGGCAGAATGAAACCGCACTTCCGTCGCGACGCGGCGACCCGCCCTGGCGGGCAGCTGTCGGTGGACTTATCTGGCCCGCACCTCGCGGGCAGGTGGCCCAGTGGGCGGCCAGAAGACGCTGGGCGGAAGGCCACCTAATTCCTCCTTGGCGCGTTCTCCGTCGCCACGGACGCAGACCTAGCGCCGCGCGCGTTGCGCGAGGAGGCAGCTCGCGCCGATGCGGGCGTTGAGGAGGACGCTGGAGGAACAGGAGGAGTGGGAGGAGAACCACCCGCACAACCAGGAGGAGCTGCAGGGGTCGCAGTGGCAGCTGGCTCGACCTCGCCGGTTGGATGCTTGGCCGTGCGACGGTTGCTCGCGCAAGTGGCTGCAGCGCTCGGCGCGGCCGCGCGGCCAGCCAGGGGGCCGGGCCAGCCGGAGGATCGCGGCGAACCCGAGCCAACCATCATCGCGGAGCCTGCGGATCATGTTCCCGGAGAGGCTTCCGGGAACATGAATGACGACGCTGCCGAGGGGCAGGGCGACGGAGGCTCCGAGGCGAGGAGGACGTGGTACTTCGCGGTGCCGCTCGAAAGCAAGCACCCGGAGAAGTGCATCCAGGCGCTGAACCGCATCATCGCGGAGTTGCGACGGCTCTTCGAGGGCGCCGACGTCGTGTACCGCGTGCATGGCGACCGAGCCTCTGAGCTCACTGGAGAGCGGGTTCGCGCCCATTTTGCCGAAAAGGGGATCGTCGTGACCTCCACTCCGGGGTACGAGTCCAACGCGAATGGGAGAGCAGAGAAGGGCGTGGGGCTCGTGAAGCAGCGAGCCAGGGCAATGTTGCTCGCGTTCCCCTCGATGGAGGATCGCCAGGCCCTCTGGGCGTGCGCGACGCAGCATGCCGCCTGGTGCTCCAGGGCGGCGGCAGATGGTCGCCCCACGGGCTGTCCAGCCTTCGGCGCAGCGGTCAAGGCACGTGTAAAGGACGTGCCACGGAGCCTTTTTGAGGCGGCAAGGGCGGTGGAGAGCGTCTTTCTGGGGATCGACGAGGGCGGAGGAGGATGGCTCGTGGGGCGAGTGGACTCCAGGGCCACGATGCCCGAGCGGAGGTGGATCATCGAGTCCTCCAGCTCCTACGTGGTAGTTCCCTCGCCAGCGCGCCCTGCTGAGGTGCCAGGAGGAGTCGCTGAGGAGAGCGAGGAGGCAGCAAGACCGGGAGGAGGACCAGGAGGAGTCGCTGAGGAGAGCGAGGAGGCAGCAAAGCCAGGAGGAGGATCAGGAGCAGCAGGAGCAGGCGAGGAGAAAGAGGACATCTTCTCAGCTGACCTGAAGGACATCACGTGCCCGGCGAGCACGACTCGCTCCCACCGATCCCACACACGCGATGCACACTGCCGTCTTGGTCCCCTTCTTCGTGGACCTGTGCGGGGGCCTCCTTTCGACGCTGGTGCAAACGCAGGGCCAAGATGGTCTTGCCCGGCGTGCCGAGGACGGCACGTCGATCACACCCGGGACCATCGATGCCGACCTGGTGCGGCAGTTGCGGCTTCCAGAGCGACAGCGGTGACTCCTTCGGCAGAGGGCGTGCACATGCAGATGTTCCGCTATCGCGACGAGATCAACTCGACCGTCGCCCCCATGGGCGCCAAGGAAAAGGAGGAGGATGACGACGACGACGAGTACGACGACATCCCAGTGCAGTTCAAGGAGATCGTGCGCGACTCCGGCACGAACATCGTCCCTATGAGCGTCTTGTCAAAGAGCGTCGGGGCCCAACGCGAGGAGTGGCGCCAGGCGCTCGAAACGAGCTCACCAGCATCCAGGAGAAGCAGGTCTTCACGAGCCTCACGCAGCACGAGCGGACCACGGTGAAGGCCAAGGACATCCTTCCAAGGAAGGTCGTGCCGGGCGTCAAATCGCCCGACGAAGCTGGCCTTCGCAGGAAGAAGGCGCGAGCAGTCGTGTGCGGGAACTTCGAGGCGGACAGCTCGGAGCCTGTGTACACGGCGAACCTCGACGTCTCCTCGCTGTGGGCCGCGCTGGCGATCGCGGCAAAGCGAGTTTGGGACGTCGGCGCCATGGACGTCTCCACAGCGTTCTTGAACGCGTGGCTGCCTATCGACCACAAGCGGGTGGTCGTCCGTCCGCCAGCCGCCATGGTCAAGTTCGGCTTGGTGCCGGAGGGGGAGCTCTGGGTGGCCCAGAAAGCCATTTACGGGTTGCGGGTGTCGCCCCGCGCGTGGGCGGAGGAACGAGATTCACAGTTGGAGAGCATGGTCGTCCGCATCGGCGGCAAGGACTGCAAGCTGGTGCAATCAACGGACCCCGCAGTTTGGCCGATCATTGAGAGCGAGTCCGGGGAGCCGGTAGGGTATCTCCTCTCGTACGTGGACGACTTCCTGATCCTCGGAAGGGGGGCCGTGGTGGAGGCAGTGCAGCAGTCCATCGGGGAGCTGTGGAGAACGTCAGGCCAACCGATCGTTGGGCCCTCTCGCCCAGGCACGGTCCGCTACCTTTCCATCGACATCTCCGTCGGGGGCGGGGACATCAGCATCTCCCAGAAGAATTACTTGGAGGAAATGCTGGAGAAGTGGGGGCCGTGTGATTGCAAGTCCAACGGGTCCATCAATCTCGAGAGGGAGTTCCTTGACTTCGACGGCGACGAGCGGGATGTCGACCTCAGCGAGGTGAGCCTGGCCCAGCGCATGGCTGGCGGCCTCCTGTGGCTTGCTAGCCGCACGCGCCCAGATATCTCTTACGCCACGTCGCGTGTGGCGGCTTTGGCCACTCGCAGGCCTGCGATTGCTCTGGCCTTTGGCAAGAAGGTGTTGCGCTACCTCGCCGGCACGCGCGGTCACGGCATCGTCTACGAGAGGGGCGAGGGCACCGACGTGGGGACGTTCGCGGTCAACACTTTCGCCGATGCATCGTTCGAAGACGTAGGTGCACAGACTGGCGTGGCGACCTACCTGTGGGACTCGCTCGTGGATTGGCGTTCGGTGCGCCAGCCGACTGTGCCATTCTCCACATGCGAGGCCGAGGTCAACTCCTTGGCCGTCGGGGAGGCCATGCAGAGCTCGATGAGTGCGACCCTCGAGAGCATGATGCTCAGGATCCGCGCCACGTTGCACGGTGACAATCAA